CTCCACCAATTCTCCGTTGCCACCAGCTCATTACATTCTTCGCTGGCCGCGTTAGAGGTAGAAAGCCCTCACGCCCTTTTAGCACCGCACCCCGCGTTGTCTCGAGTCACATCCTCTGGCTGCTGCTTGAGGGGGAGAGGGTCTGCGATGCTTCGCGCTTCGCCACCCTCTCTCCAGTCGTGTCTGAGCTGCCGATGGTCACTTCGCCTCCTGCCTCTAACTGTCGGTTGTTTCCTCGAGGCCGATGCATCGTCTCTATTTAGGAAGGGGAGAGTCTGGTTGGCCCTTTAGCAGCTGACCCGATTGGCCTGATTTGCCCTTTAGCTACTGGCCTGGTTGGCCCTTTAGCCGCAGGCTGGATTGGCCCTTTAGCTAATGGATCATCCTCCGAGTGAAGCTGACATGATTTTCTCCGACGTAGTTGATTGAGCCTAGCCCCTTTTGCCTCTTCTTCCCCTGTTTTGGTGGCCTCAAAAGCTCAGTTGTTGACTAAGGTCACCCTTGTAGCCAGTTCTAGCTAGTCCTTCCGTGGAGTTTTTAGTTGTAGAGTCTATTTCTTTAGCTCTTTAGGTTTCGTTCGTGGATTGTTCTATCGGCGTTGAGTAGGGGATGTATTAGTTTATAGTTATTTTAGGTGTGCGTTTAGTTGTTTTTGGTTTATTCTCCACTTGTTGGAGTAGAGTCACCACTAGTTGGAGTAGTATTCACCCCTTTTGGGTGTTTTATTGCTTTTGTGTGGGATTAGGCGTCCAGCTTATGGTTTAATGACCATAAGCACTCCTGGTAGCTTACTACCTTCATCCTTACATGTAGCTGTAATCTAGGACACTTATGTTAGTGCTCAGCAATTTGTATATTGTATATTACCTTTTTAAATAATACATTTTATCCTTTTGAAAAAAAAATAAAATTGTTTTAGGTATCAAAACTCAATATATTCATACAATATTCAATTTGAAATATGCAGTGAAAATAAATAAATAAATACGAACGATTAAATTTGTAAATTAAATACATTTTCATCTCATTATGAATACCAGATTGGTTTTTCTAATTAGGACATTTATAAGAGAATAATTATATGAACAAAAACTTATAAATAATAAGCTTGCGCACAATGTCATACTTCTTAGTTGTTAGAGACGGACAATCTGCCCGC